CGGGAGCAGCCACTGCACTCCAGTCTGGGCGACAGAGTGAGACTCCAACTCAGAAAAATATATACATATATATATATCTACTAAGACTAAAAATTACCTCCATGGGAAGGATTGAATCCAGAAATAAGGTCACTCCTCCTCAGGGCCATTTCCTTCATTAACGACTACTTTGAGCTCGTCAAAAGCATCCAAAGATGCAGGGCGCGGTGGCTCACGCCTATAATCCCAGCACTGAAGGCCGGGGTGAGAGGATTGCCCGAGTCCACGGGTTCGAGAACAGCCTGGGCAATTTGGCAAGCCCTCATCTCTACAAAAACGTTAGAAAAAATTTAGTCTGGCGTGGTGGTGCATGCCTGTAGTTCAAGCTACTTGAAAGGCTGAGGCAGAAGGATCACCTGAGCCTAGCAGGTCAAGGCTGCGGTGGCGGGATTGTGCCACTGCCCTCCAGCCTGGGTAACAGAGTGAGACTCCAACTTAAAATAAAAAAAAAAGAAAAGAAAGGAAGGCCGGGCTCAGTGGCTCAGCCTGTAATCCCAGAGTTTTGGGAGGCCGAGGTGAGCAGATTGCCAGAGCCTGCGGGTTCGAGACCCGCCTGGGCAACTTGGCGAGACCTCATCTCTACAATAAAATAAAAAAAATTAGCCGGGCGTGGTAGCGCGCACCTGTAGTTCCAGCTCTTGGAAGGCTGAGGCGGAAGGATCGCCGCAGCCCAGCAGGTGGAGGCTGAAGTGGCCCGGAGTGGCCACTGCACTCCAATCTGGATGACAGAGTGAAATTCCAACTCAAAAAAAAAGAAAAGAAAAGAAAAGAAATTCCCAAAGAAATCAGCACAGGTGTTCTGCCCTAGCTCCTGGGTCAACCGATTCAGTTGCATTTACAGTCTGTAGCCTAAACTGGGAGGAAGGGTTTGGCTTTGTTGCCTGCTGAGAGAAGCTCTGGAAGGAGAGATGGTGTTTTCTTACTAGAGTGTTGTTAGCAAAGAACCTAAAAGATAAGCTATCAACCCCAGAGGCTGGAAAAGTTATAAACAAGGGATGAAAAGAGGTGTTAGATAATCTGTAAATGAACCACTCTTAAAATATAAACATGAGATAATTTAGTAACACAAACCACTTAATTGGTTACAATGGTAATACTAAAAATTTTTTGCTAAATCCTGGCTTTTTGTATGAACCAAAGCTTATGTTGTTTTCTCCACACAGATGAGTAAAGATCTCAATTCCTAGATCAGCGAGAGTTCACCATCGTGCTCAAGGAAGCTTTGAGGACCCAGTATTTCCTTGGCATTCTCTGAACACAAGGACATTCCGCTCACTTGCAAAATAGACTTTAAGCTGGCCAGGTGCAGTGACTCACATCTATAATTCCAGCACTCTGGAAGGCCAAGGTGAGAGGATTACCTGAGCCCAGGGTCTGGAGACCAGCTTTGGCAACTAGGTGAGATATCGGGGGTTTTTTTGTTTTGTTTTGTTTTTGTTTTTTGAGTTGGAGTCTCACTCTGTCACCCAGACTGGAGTGGTGACTGCTCCCGGCCACCGCAGCCTCGACCTGCTGGGCTCCGGCGATCCTTCCACCTCAGCCTTCCAAGGAACCGGAATTACAGGCGCGCGCCACCACGCCCAGCTAATTTTTTGATTTATTGTAGAGATGAGGTCTCGCCAAGTTGTCCAGGTGGGTCTCGAACCCGCGGACTCAGGCAATCCACTCACCTCAGTCACCCAAGGCACGGGATTACAGGCTGAGCCACCAAGCCCGGCTGAACCACTCGTTTCTACAGTTTAAAAAAGAAAAAAATGTAGCAGCATGTGATGCCACACTCCTGTAGTTTTGGCTACTTGGAAAGCTGAGGTAGAAGGATCACCTGAGCCAAGAATGTCAACGGGGTGGTAGCCGTAAGCATGCCACTGCATTCCAACCTGGGCAACAAAGTGAGACTCTGACTCAAAAAAAAAAAAAAAAAAAAAAGGTGATGCTATCTATGCTAGAATGGTAGTGATGACGATCAATAAATGGAAAACACTGTCTAAGAGTGAAGGCTAACAAGTTTGCTAAAGGCAGACACTGCAATGGGACCCACAGAGATTCAAATACTGCAGACATTTACCTGTTTGGTTCATATAGTAATGATCTTGAGATGGAGGTAGAAGTTGCAATTAGAAGAAAGAAGATAGTAATGAAGGCCTAGGACAGCTATGAATAGGGTACCACCTACCTACAGAGCTTTCATTCTTATTAATATGTAGAAAGTGTGTATCTTGTGACCCCAAAACTCCAAATACAGGAATCTACCCAAATAAATTGTAAAGAAAGACATGGAAGAGTATTCACAGCTATTTTATAATCAACCAAAGAGCCTATCAATAGGGAATTGGTTAAATATAGTGCATTAAAAAAAGCAGACATTAAAAAGATGTATATTCATTGATATGCAATACCTATAATTTTTTTAAAAGCACAGACTGCAAAACAGCATGTAAAATATTTTTTAATTACTTATAAAAACAGAGGCACAAGTGGGTAAAAATGCCAAGTATCTGATAGAATGGTCACCAAAATATCAATAGCAATATTTCGTGTTTTTGTTTTTCTGTGTGTATCAGTCTCACTCTGCCTACCAGGCTGGAGTGCAGGGGCACACTCACGGCCACAGCCTTCCAAGTAGCTGGGACCACAGGTGCGAGTCACCATGCCCAGCTAATTTTTTTTACTTATTGTAGAGACGAGGTCTCGAGGTCTTGCCAAGTTGCCCAGGCTGGTCTCGAACCTCTGGGCTCGGGCAATTTTTTCAACTCAGCCTCCCAAAGTGCTGAGGTTATAGGCTTGAGACACGGTTCCCGACTCCATTTTTTAAAACAACATTGTCTAGTCTCTTTGAAAGTTTGAATTGCATTTGTAAATAGGAGAAAAATAAAATCTAACATAAGTTCCCATAGTACTTTGGTAATGGCCTTGACCCTATGTGCTTATTTGTATCATGCAGAAGTTAGGCAGAGAACGTACCTAGGTTAAGTACCTAGCACCATGGGAATAAGCAGAGGTCCCTGCATGGAATAAAAAGGAAAGGGGATAAAGCATTATTCAACAAACTTTTAAACTGCCTACTATGTGTCTGCACTGTTCTAGGAACTGAGGATACACCGGTAATAAGTGGTGTACTTTCATCCTTGTTATTTTAGTGAAGTTTAACCTTTTGCATTCAGATGTCCCCTCTGAGGGGACATTGTAAATCTAGCAACCCCTCGATGTCCCCTAGGGGGACAAAAAGAAGCCAGGCTTGGTGGCTCAGCCTGTAATCCCAGCACTTTGGGAGCCTGTGGGTTCGAGACCCACCTGGGCAACTTGGCGAGACCACATCTCTAAAATAAATTAAAAAATTAGCCGGGCGTGGTAGCACACGCCTGTAGTTCCAGCTACTTGGAAGGCTGAGGCAGAAGGATCACCGGAGCCCAGCAGGGCGAGGCTGCGGTGGCCAGGAGTGTGCCACTGCACTCCAGTCTGGGCGACAGAGCGAGATTCCAACTCAACAGAGGGACAAAAAGAGATTGCTGGTGATTATATAGTACAAACTTACGTAAGCCAATGTTTTCAAACATGCATATTTCCTTGAAACTTTCCATTTAAAAACAATGAAAAATCTATGTCCCATTTGAAATTTGCCAAGCTTCTGATTCATTAGTTGAGAAGGGGTTTTCAGGAATCACAAGTGTATCCTTCCACATTGTCTTTGAATAAAAGAATGTATAATAAATTACATATTATTAATATGAGAGGAAGAAAACAAGACTGCACTGTTTGCTTGAATAGAAAAACAATGAGTGGAAGGTATCAAATTACATTTGCACAACATGTATCACTGAACCTGCAATGAACATTGGTGACTGTTTCACACATTAACACATAAAAAGATATATAAAATTTTGATTTTGTCATAAGTTCCTCAAT